CTTTTCCGGTGGTTTTGACTTCTTTTTTTTAATTCTTCTTGCACTGGCAACACATGGAGTGGCTTTTTCTTCAAAGATAATTCTATTTGTTTCTAGACCAGTTTGCAACTAGAAAAAATACGAGAACCTGAAATTAGTGAGGTAGAAACACACTGGATTAAAATCTGAGACATGCTATGTAAGGGTAGGTAAAGCCAACAGTACCCTCTGACAGAAACACAGGTCACAGCTGCAGGTGCATTATTTGTAGTTGCTCCATGAATTATATCAAATGAGTTTAATGGAAAGCACACAACCTCAAACTAATGCTTTAGTATTTTCTTCTTTTTCACAAATTATAGCTACACCATGACAAACACAAAGCAGCCACAAAATAAAATGTACCACTTCTTTTAAAATCTCATATACTTACAATACAAGAGGGGTGAATTAGAACATGTCCAAAAAATTGGAAGTAGATTCACGAGTGTTATCCAGACCTCTTGTTCTAAAGCTAGATGTTTTTTTCTAGATACTTAGCAATTCTATACTAATTTAAAAATAATTTTTAATCTACATGGTAGAAATTCCAATTACAGACAATGTAACAGAATGTTCCTAAACCAGTGAGCATACTCATGAAGTGACACTGCTGGCACAGACCAGAAGGAACTGTGCTGTGGAGGCTCCGTCCTAATTGTTTTGAAATCAGAACCTATGCAGGCGATTGGTATTATAATAAGATAATAATTATTATCAACGAGAAAAAGATATGCAAATGTCATATAAGTTAAATACTTTGGAAGGGAAAGAGTACACCCAAGCAATAAGGAGGTTTCGTACAGGGCTCTAGCAGTCGCTCTCCATCTTCGAGAAAGATGGTTGTTTGGTTGGTATACAGATTACTCAATGTGTTTGTGAAGCCATGGTGTTTCCTTTCCACCTGCTGGTCACAAGCTATTGGGGTAGTAGACAACCTCAACTTGTCCTGGTGTCCTGAACAAGCAGGTTTGAAAATGGCTTTTGAACATTTCTGACAGGGACCTATGGTAAGAACCAAGTTTTACGTAGTTATTTATCACATGTATTGTGTGCTAAGGTTAATTCTGTAGAACTACCCCATAGGGTGAGCTTCCTCAACCACAAGGAGTCCTGGAGGCACTCTGAGTTGGTGTTGGGCTGCTAACAGCAAGGTTGGCAGTTCAAATCCACTAGGTTGCTCCTTGGGAGAAAGATGAGGCTGTCTGCTCCAGTACAGACTTACAGTCTAGGAAACCATATGTAGGGTGAGTCCGAATTGGTTGATGATAGTGGGCTTGGTTTTGGTTTGATTTCTCCTGAGGAACTGCTGGTGGGTTCAAATGGCTCTCCATCAGATTAGTAGCAGAGCTTTAACTAGAATACACCGCTAGGGTACCTTTATTATGTGTACTTAGTTCTTGGTATTTGTCATCTACTTATGTACTTATTTTGTTTTGATTAAATCCCCCATCTGTGGAATTACTCAAACTTTACTCTTTGTCTGTACAGATACATGTTCACAACTTTCCAGATGTTAAGACATATCATCTTAGAACCTCAATTTTAATCATTTTAAAAAGCATATAAATGGTAAAATTATGCACAGCCGACCCGTTTACATTTCAACGTACCTGGGCTGCCTTAAGTTGCATACGTTTCCTTTCCTGTTCTTCTTCACGAAGTTTGGCTTCTAACTCTTGCATTTTTTTCTAGTGATCAAAGTATTAAAAAGGACAATGGTGAAAAAAATGTCCATTTGGAAAACTTTAACACAAACATTAAGAAAGTGTTTTAAAATTTTATAGTGAACACATACTTGTGAATTTACTTTTAAAATGTCTCAGAGCTTGCCAGTGTCCACAACACACTTTGCTTTGTGGTCACTATTAATCATTTTGTGAGGTAGCAATGAGGTCACTGGGTGGAATTGTGGGTAAAATATATGGTCAAAGAACAGGCCTCTGTATGGAAGTTAATAACAGACTACAAGGAAGCTGCATGTGGAACTTTAGTGTCAGGGGCATTAAATATCTCTCAAGTGAATCAATTAAAGCTATAATTATTTCAGAAAGTGCATTAAACCTATGATGCAAGGCTTAAGTATGCTAAAAAAATTTTTCTTTCAACATTTAAAAAATAACTTTCTCTTACCCGCATCACAATTGTTACATGTAAACATTTTCTCTGAATCTTTAAGTCTTTAAATCCTTACATAATTCCTCACAACAGATTGCTTTTCCTATATTCAATGAAATGCACAGATTTGTACCATATTACATGTTAATCAGTGAAAACCATATTTACTAACTTCTGCAAGGGCTTGCATCGTAGTAAGTTTGTTATACTCCTGTTCAAGAAGATCCAATTTTTCAAGTTTGGACTGAA